TCAATGATTTTGCCTACACGCAACCAATCATCATGCCAAAAGAATGCTCTCTCACCATTCCCTATCTCCACCCTAATGAACTGAAAAGCTAGTGAACGGAGCTTAAGAAGTTTCCTCCACATCCAGGATCCAGCTCATTTCGAGCATCCCAGAACGAACCTTGACGTAAAAGATAGTGTTGAACCCACGAAACCAACAACGAATCCGTCACATGAAACAAACGCCATATCAGACCAAGAGCAAACACTCTAACTGTATCTCGCAGACGTCGAATACCCAAACCACCTTCATTTTTTGGATAACACAGGTCTTCCCAGTTAACTTTAAGATTGCGCTACACATGCTTTCTATAGTATCCATACATGCCATAGGTAGTATAAACGCTGAGCACCAAAAGTTAACAATGCTTGCGATTACAGATTTAAGTAGCTGTAAACGCCCTGCATAAGACAAAATCTTGTTAGTCCAATACAACATACGAGTTCTAATTTTATCAATTAGAGACTCATAATCCTCCTTGGAGAGAGCCCTTGTAGTCAGTGGCAAGCCCAGATAATGAATCGGAAGCTGTCCAACCACAATTCCCATTCTCTCTGCCTCTTCGCAAACGCTAATTGTACCACTTCCAGAAGCATATAGTGAGGACTTAGCGGCATTAATATGGAGACCTGACATACTTGCAAAGTCATCCATTGTTTTCATAATTCCGTTCAGCGAATTACCTGATTCGTCTGTGAAAACAAGTAAGTCATCTGCAAAGCTCAAGTGTGTTAGCTGAACAGTTTGACACTGCGGATGATAACCAAAAGAGCCCTCCAGAGCCGCTTTATTCAACATCTTAGACAACACATTATTCAGTATGACATAGAGATAAGGTGAAAGGGAGCAGCCTTGCCTTATACCTCTAGCGCTTGAAAAAAAACTTTCTAGGCTACCAGTAATCGATACTGAAAATGAGGCTGTGGATATGCAAGTACGGATCCAACTAATAAATAGAGCAGGCAGTCCCATTTCTGTTAACACTGCTGTGATGAAGGACCATCTCACTGTATCAAACGCTTTGGAGATGTCAAACTTGACAGTGCATCTATCGGAATTTGTCTTCTTGTGATATCCATTGACCAGTTCCGATCCTAGTAGATTGTTTTCTAGTAATAGTCTTCCTTTGATGAAGGCACACTGGTTGGATTCAATGGCTTCAGGAAGTATCTTCTTGACTCTAGAGGCTAAGATCTTGGATATTATTTTATACAGGAAGTTGCAGCAGGCTATAGGCCGATAATCTTTCATTGTCTCAGCTGTTTCAGCTTTGGGGATGAGGGAGAGGATGGTTGCATTTACACCCTTGGGAAGAAATCCATAGAGAAAAAAGGACTGCACCGCTACTATATAGTCGCTTCCGATGATACGCCATGCCGCGACATAGAACTCTTTCGTGTACCCGTCTGGCCTTGATACTTTATCATTGGGGAGTGAAGATATCGCATTGAGTATCTCCTCTTGTGTAACAGGTGCAACCAGAGGACCAGCTTCTGTAGGAGAACATCAGTAAGTGAGCAAGTTCTGAATCAAAGGAAGAGGAATGTCTTCTGCTCCTTGATCTTGTTTTTGGAGGAAACATTGAAAATATTGCACTGCCTCCTGAACTATATCTGCACTTGCTGTTAAGACGTCTCCGTTTTGATTCTTAAGCACTCTGATAGCATTCCAGGATCTACGAGATTTCATTGACTGATGAAAAAACGTTGTGTTTTAATCACCTGCATGGAGCCATCTGATACAAGATTTCTGCCTGTAGAATTTCTCCTCTATCCGAGCCAGTTTATTCCACCTGTCAGAAGCTACTGATGCAGCTGCAAATGTAAGCGGATTAGGGTCCAGAAGAACTTGGTTCTGACATTCACACATAACCTCGTATGCCTCCTTGGTTCGGTTGGGAAGATTCCCATAATGAGTTTTATTCAACAACCGCAACTCGTACTTTAGCGCTTTAAGCTTCTTTTGAAAGTGTCCCAATGAAGCTCGAGAATGATAAAGAGTTTCAGTGCTTTCCCAAAGCTCTGCAACAGTTGGGAGAAACTCTTCATGCTCTGCTAGGAAATTAAAGAACCTGAACGGCTTCCTCACATCTTCTATATTAGCCGACAACCTTATCAAGCATCTCGCATGACCTGATATACCCCCGGCCTCAAACTGAGCATAAGAATGAGGGAAACAACGCAACCAGTCTCCATTGATGAGTGCCCTATCCAAATTTTTGCCTATAGGATCCTCTTCACGCTTATTCCACCAAGTAAAAAGAGCTCCCACATAAGCTAAATCCGTGAGAGCACAATCACTTACTAATCCCTTGAACTGCCTCAATCCTGTCTAATCTGGAAGGTAATCATTGTAACGGGAGTGCTCTGTAGACGATAATGTGACATTATAGTCTCCGAACAAAATCCAAGGCAAGTGAAGATACTGATATGCATTATGTGTTTTCCGTAAATCTTCCCATAGCTGACGCCTTTCGCTTTCAAAATTGGAAGCATAAATGGTAGAGCAAATAAAATGCTCTGATGTTTCTGGAATGTGGACAGCAGATGTAATGACTTGAGAGCTCATGTGTAGAAGGGAGACTTGAACTCCATCTGACCAGCAAAACCAGATCTTTCCTAACCGATGATGATCGTAGTTAGTAATTGATTGCCATCCCGGCAGAGCCACTTTCATACATTTATTGTGATTCTCTTGCTTAACTCTTGTTTCCACTAAACAATCGAATAGTGGCTTCTTCTTAACAACCCAACGATGAACAGCTGTGTGCTTGCGTGACATGTTGAAGCCACACATATTCCATGAAAAAAATGACGTCATAACTTCCTAACGGAAGTTTGTTTTGCTCCTGCCTGCATCTGCATCATCCTTAGGTCACGTGAGTTTACTGGTCTCCTCTTAGAATTCTTATTACCAGGGTTTTGCACTCCCTTGCTACCTTTCTTAGAGAGTATAGATCCTCTGGCCTTGTTCTCCTCATTTACTAGCTCCCCTTTCTCATCATCATCCTCCTCACATTCTTCATCCTCCAGGACAGACAGAACATTAAAACGTGATGGCGAGGCGATGTCATTAGCATCTACTTCTCTCTGATTTGAAGGTCCATTGTCAACCCTAGACCATTTATTATTCTCTGCTTCCTCACAGACAAATTCTTCCACACTGACCAATGGGTTCGAACTTGTACCTACTTCCTGACTCCTGTCCACTCCAAGACCAGACCGATGGCTTAAGGAGGCCTCACCTGCAATAGTATTATGAATTGCCATATCTTCAAACTCCTGCAACAGATCACTAACAACATTACTACTTCCACAACCCTTGTCCTCAACCACAGAGACCAGCATTGATTCCTAAACTTCTTTTCCTTTGTCTGATTGTAAGATTCTCACTTTCTGTGTAGTACAAGTTAAACAGAGGTTGCATCTAGGAGGCAGCCATGGATAGCTAACTATCACTGATACATTCTCCCCGTTTGCATCTTTGAAATCAATTCTCTCTACAAGTGGCTTGCTTAGATCAACTTCCGTAAGAACCCTTGCAACATCCAGTCTCACACATCTCTCCGTTTTTGGATGGAGCTTCACATACTTCCCTACTCCCCGAGCCAGACACTTCAATCCCTTAGCAGAGAACAAGTGGCTAGGAACCTGCTTCAAATCAACCCACATCGGCATTGAAGATAGATCAGGCTTCAGAGTCGCTGTTTCCGGAGACCACTTATTAACAACCATTGGCACATCTGCTACATGCCAATATTTCCTCTGCAAAACATGCCCCTCCATCTGAGCATTCTCATTACGGAAAAAAATCGTGTTCTTCTCAATAAACCGGACATCTATCTTAGGTCCCGATTTAGATGAAACCCAAATCCGATTCACTGTAGCATGGATTGAACCAACATGAGGAGCATCTTCTATGAAGTACCCGACCACATAACACTTCCAAAGCGTGTTAGAATCCAGCAAAACCTCTTTCGGGATGACCATTGAGACCACTCCGTTATGTTCCTCCATGACTGGGTATTGAGACCCCTCGGGATTTGCTTTCCATGGAGAGTCGGGGGAGTCTCCTACTCCACGATTCTCTTCACAATACGCCTTCGTACCCATCTCAGTCTGCTCCTTCTCATCCGATGAAATCAGGATATCCTGGGATGGGTTGTCTGGGTCAGCCGTCGCATTCTCTTCCGATTTGTCGCCTAGGGTTTTCGCCGCCGCTGTCGCCATGTCTCAAAATCAGAGCAGTTTCTATTAATCTTTTTCTTATATTAAAAATTTATATCTTTCTTTTATAGGTTATAGAATCTGTAAAATGAAAAAAAAAATTATTTATAATATCAAATAGAATTAAATAATCATAATTAAAACATCTATAGATATTTTAATTTAACTTTCGGTGTTCTTAAAATTAGTAACATATTTTAGATAACATATAGAATATTTACGTATCACATTTTAAATAACAGTGAACTTTAATAATTTATAAAAAAAATATTAATTTTAATGATTTTAATTGATAAAAATAATTATTTTATATATACATAAAATATTTCATATATTTTATTTTAAAATATGTAAAGCTTTACAGCTACAAAATTAACTATAGCAAAAATCAGCAAAAAAATTTTACAGTAACTTTATAGCCACAAACAACTTATTTACAGTTAATTTTTGCAGTTAAATTTTTACATCTATGTTAATTCTGTAGTCACAGTATTACACAACCCAAAACGGTAAAACTAAGATACAAATTTATCTACAATTACTTTTGTTTAACTTATTTTGATTAAAAAAGAAGTTCACTTTTTTACCGGAAATTCAACCATCATAAATAATCTTTTTCAACATGACTTGAACCTACGGTGGCACTAGTTATAGCCACAACCTCTTTCCACTAGATCAATAAATTTGTGTATATATATCTTATATGAAAATATTAGCTTGCTAGGAGACAAATGCAAGTGATACTTTTTTTGTTGGACAACCCACAAGTGATACACAAATACGCAAAACAAACAACAAAAAGAGAGAGAATAGACTCCTTTTTTCTCTATTAACGAGAGAGAAAGAGAAATTATGAATCTTACTCCGATCTTCTTGGCTGCTTGTATTTTTGTGTTTCTACTCCCAAACAATCTTTCACAAGGTAAGGTAACCATCGTACTGAGATTACAAATTTGCTCATCCGGATAATCCAGATCGTTTTGGTTAAAGTCCGTTTTTTTCTTTTGGTGAAGACTCAAGCTTGACCACTCCGAGGAGAAGGCCATGGTGCCCATCGAAAAAACAAGTGTTCAGTGGTTCATGCTCAGAAGATGGAGGACAACAATGTCTAAATGATTTATTAAGCACATGGGTTCCAAGTGTAAGGCTCAGCCCAATATACTGCAGTTGCTCTCCTAAACCTAACAATAAGCGTCTCTGCAAGTGTCCTATTATGATTTGTCCCTAGAAAACATATTGTTGTTCTGAGTCATTTTCTATGTAATATATAATAATGTTTCATTTCCGATATGGAAACAGCCAACTGAATACATCAACGTTATTACCAATTTTGTCAAAACAATATGGCACCAATACTTTCCAATTCTGTTTCAGAAGCTAAATATAGAAAAGATAATTGGTCCTTTAGTACTAGACGACTTTAGTAGTATATGCAACAATGAAGGATGTAAAGGGTAACCAAAAGAATGAGTGAGAGAATAATGTATTCATCTTTAATCTTTAGAATTGACATCATTTATAAAGAATATTTATTCTCCAATGTTCTTTCTTATTTCGTTAAATTTAAAGAATCAGAGAGAATTTCTTATTAAATTTGGGAAAGAACAACTATGAACAAACATTTCTACTATTTTGTTACTCTTCATTTATTTCCTTTTTGTTCTTTTTATTCTTTTAGTAGTCATCAGATAAAGCTGAACTTTTAATATCTCGATTTCAGGTATGTGTGGAAAAACTTTTAAAAACTGTTTTTGCTAACTATATCACCAAAGTATGTTTATCTTTTTCGGCACACACCCGTTTAGAACTCCAGTTAAGCATATTTGAACTGGAGTATTGGAAGGATAGGTGACCTATCGGAAAATAATTCACGATAGCGTGTGAGCGAGGAAAAGCACGTGGAAAAATCATGTTGTGATTGCAGGGTTAGTAAAAAATAATTTCGAGCCTCTGCAAACTTAATGCACAGCCCATCAGACGAGACGGGGCCCACATGTCGAGTGAGCGGGATTGGGTGGTCCCGTTAATCGTGGGCGTTCGATGTGTTACAAGTGGTATCAGAGCTGGTTAACCGTCTCGGTTCTGACTCGAGAGGCGTCTTGAGACCTGTCGTGGTGCGCAAATGGGGCGTTGTGTTCTATGAGTGGGGGTGAATTGTTACATCCAAATTTATGGTATATGTGGAAAGGCTTAAGACAATTAATTTAACTATCTATGTCACCAAAGTGTGCTTAACTTTTCCGGCATAAATTCGTTAGAACTCTAGAGTGAGGAAGAGTGACGTATCGAAAAGTGATTCGTGATAGCGTATGAGTGAGGTAAAAGCACGAGGAACGGTCATATGGTGATAGCAGGATCAATACGCAAAGAATTCGAGCCTCTAAAAAAATTAACACATCGTCCGTTGGACAGGATAGGACCCACAAACTAAATCAATGGACATGGATAACCTATTAACTGTGGGCGGTCGGAGCTTACAAAATTTTCATTAAGAAAAATCTTATGAGATCGTGATGGACCAGAAGCAAAAAATTAAGAGGTAATGGATCAAAGTCAGCCAGTGGTTTCGGGTTTCAAGAACTAGTATTTCAAAATTGACATGAATGTCGTCAGTGGTTTTGATTTTTTGAGGAACAAAAATTCATCTTGAAATTTATTCTATTTAAATATAATTATTGAAATACAAAAAAAAGTTATAACAGTCCAACTAAAATAAACCCCACTAAATATTATCATCCCTTTTAATACAACCAATATCAATTAATATTGAAATACCCACTCGACATAACAACAAAAGCCTATGCACGATATGTGCAAGAAAAATAAATAGAAACAAACTCATATATTAAAACATGATTATAATTATATTATATATACACATATTCTTTTCCTTTTAACTGAAACTTAGTATATGATGGCATTTTACTAATAATGAGAGGAAAATGGTAAAATCAGGTTATCAAGTGGAACGAATTTATTTACATAGAATAGGAACTTTACCAATATATGGTCCCTTCGTTACCCTTTTAAAAGATTTTTTTTCTGGAAAATACGCTGTCCACCGATAATCAAATATTTCTTATGGCAAATTGTATCAGATTTTATTCAAGTCAAGAAAAATCTACAATCAAGAGGTCTCCAAGGAGATAGCCAATGCGCTATATGTGGAGCTAGTGAAGAATCAGTTAATCATATCCTTTTGAATGTCCTCCAGCGGTTCAAATTTTAGTTCTCTCAAAGATTCCATCAAATCCACATATCTTCCCCTCTTCCTCCATTTTTACGAATATGGATCATTTATACTGAAGAGTTCACCTAGCCATGGAGGATCATCAATTTGCCATGGAATGTATGAGCAATTTTTGTCAGTATCACATCATATTTTCAATAGATTGTTCCCAACTGGTGAAGATGGTTTCATTACCAGAGGAATCACTTGCTTTTACAAATTAAATGGAAGACATCAAACTTCTCAAGGCAAGTTTCAATCACTAAGAGATCATTCATATACTTCGAACAGAGAATTTAAAGGTAGAAAGTATAGCACGCAATGCTAGGAAGCAATCGTATTTTGGGTCATTCATATGGATGAAGAGTTACTCGTTCGGTTCACAGTCTTAGTTGAATATGTATATTGATGAAAACAAAAATGAAACTTAGTATATATAAATTGTCAAATAATAGTTTCTGCCCATATTAAAGCAAGAAAATATGGCTTCTTTAGATGAAACTGTAATATCAAATTTTGATATATGTGGAAATGCTTAATATAATTGATTTAATTATTCATGTCATTAATATTTTCTTATATTTTTAGGAACACATTTGTTTAGAACTCAAAAGTTACGTATGTTTGAGCTGAATAATAGAAAGACGAATGACCTATCAGAAAGTAATTTGCGATATTGTAAAAGTGAAGTCAAAACACAAAGAAAAAGCATATATAATTGCATGGTCAATAAACAAATCTTTCGAGCCTTGAAAAAATTAATACCACACCACCCATCGCAGGGAATAGAACCCATAGGCCAAGAAAGACTTATTAGCCATATAGACGTCGTTACGTTACAGAAATAGTCCAAACAAAATAGAAGGCTTCATAAGTTCAAAAAAAGCTTCACAAAGAACTTGCTAGCTTGCAGATAAAAATACAATACTAAAGGTAATTAACATTAGTTGTGTTTATATGATATATTGAACTATATATTAGGATTTACAGTTACAGTTTTTTGTAGACCATTGCATAAAATGTACAGCTTTATCAATTCTGAAACAGGTTGAACGCCATATAATTAATTTATACTATAATAGAATATTTATTTTATATTATAATAAATTAGGTTTGACAAATTGGAAAAAAAAAATTAATATTATAATTTTAAATTGTGAAATCTAATTAAAATTAATATGAGGCGGGTTATATATATATTATCTTATTTTTATAAAATTATCTTTATGTAATTTTGATTAATTTTAGGATTTAAAATTTTTTTATTAAAATACAGATATATATATATATATATATACAATTTATATATTTTGATAATTAATTTTTCGAATAAAAATTATCATGCATTTTGATAATCGCGGATCATAATCTAGTATTTTCTTTTAAAGTACCTTTATTTTCAGTAATTATAATTTTATAAAATTGAAATCTTGGGAAAAACAAAGTACACACCACAAAATATGTGATAGGAGAATATTTGATTTTGCCATCAGTATAAACATAAACGATTAAGACTTTACTAAACAACTAAAAGACTCCATGTCAATAAAGATAAACTAAGGCTGTTGATATCAAACACCTCGTGCAAGCTTTTTGGTTCTTGTATATTGAGTCCAGGAAATATACGTTATAGCAAAAGTAAATTTTCAGGTTCCGGAACCATCTTCACCAATTGAGAATAATCTGTTACAAATGCAGGCTATATTCTTCATGTATATTCATTTCCCCCATCAAGCCCTCAAACCCTTTTAGGTCACTGTACCAGCCATTTCCTGAGTAGAGTTCCCCGTTCTTCCAAGCTCGATCGGTGAAACACCACCTTCCTATCCTTCATGGAAGCTTCTGGGATTCCCACTCCCCATCATAAGACCTTGGCTGCTGAGTTTCATTATTTTCCATATGTATTTGAGCTTCCTTACATAGTATCGATTTTGTTTAGGATACCTTGTGGATATTTATCTTCTGTATTGAAATTTTTTTTCATTATTCCCTTTTCATATATACCAGAGAATCCCAACTGACTCTGTATTCTCTATCTGCGATCTGGTCCTTCAATAACGGTAGTTCATATTTGTAAAACCGATTGCATTGGAAAGTTACCTAAATGTGTGGAAGTTCTGGATAGCGCCTAGACCTGCACAACTGAGAGACATTAACATAATTTATTGACTCCTCCTCCGCTTCTCACCTTTTGTAATGTAAGTCACTCTTTAGATCTCGTGTTATAAGATTCTTCATGACATGTAATATTCCAGAAAAAATGTTTCAACTTAGCAGAACATCATTTTCCATGAGTGTGGATATTTCATTTCACTATAAACTATATTTAAGAATCTTCCAAATTTATTATAAAACAACAAATAATATTTAAGGGAAATTTTCATAAAAATATCTCAACTAGTTTAATATCTATTTTTTTTGGCTATCCAGCTTAATACTTCAAATAATTATTTTGTTTATTGTAATATACTAACTTTGAAAAAAAAAACATTTTATTAATAAAACTATGTTTATTAAATTTTAAAAGGATTTTTTACAAAAATAAAATAAAATGTAAAATTTAAAACAAATCAAAATACATTTAAATTATTATAAAATTTTACGAATAAAAGTAACTAACCTGTGGATGGAAATTTAAAATTTCTAAGAACTTAATTTTGAAAGAGAAAAATAAATTAGTTTTAAATTTGGGGAAGTTTCAATTTTCGTTTTGTACCACTTTTTAAAGTTACCATTACTTAATGATTATTTTCACAAATATTTTAAATTTATGATAAAATAACACTAAATTATTTTTTAAATATTTATAGACCATTTATAAACTCAACCGAAACCCCTTAATACTAAACCCAAAATAATATTTACTAAAACTTAAATCCAATTATTAGTATATTTTTGATTGGTGGTATTTTTGAAATGTGGTACTTAGGTATTAAATTGGATAGTCTTGTTTTCTGAAGAAGTAGCTTATGAAATCTGTTTTTTCTGAGATATCAATATATTTCAGCTTTTCCACAATTTTCAAAGTATCCAAAAAGGTAGTTCTTGCAGGTGTCCAAATTTGTAGAAGATTCAGATGTCAAGCAAGCATAAATTTTCTCCTCAATATATGCAATTTGTCTATTAATTACC